GTATAGAAATCAGAGTAAATAAATCAGAGTAAATGAATCACAGTACACAAGAAAATAAATATCGACTAGCCAATTATTTGGCTAGGAGTTTCAGCGCTTCGCCACGGGTGGCGCCACCGGTCAAAAAAATAGTGGTACTCCGCGATTAAATGCGATTTTAACAGTGTTGTAGTTGTTTATTGTTATTATCAATAATAGTGGATTAATCTAGGTACTTTCAGCTACAAATTGAGTGCTTCAGCTAAACGAAAGCTATCCGTATAACGGTGTAAGAGCTATGCAAAGTGAACTAACCGGGGTACGCATGACGAGATACAGTGTCAACCGTTGCAAATAAATGTGATTTTAACAATGTCTTGTAATTATCGGTACATAGCCGCTAGAAAGTACTAATGTACGTTCTTTAAACAGCATACAAAAGTACCCTGCGCGTGAAGATTCGCTGTCAATGTACCTCAACGTTAAGAGACTTGTGTCTTAATAAAGTAAAATATGACATTGCAGTACTGAGGACCTGCAATCAGAAATTTCAGATTATAGCCATTGAATTTCAAGGAAATATTAAGTATCATAAAATCCTATTTAATTCTGCTGAATATATGTAGAAACACGTTCACTAATCATGCTGATTAAGTAGGCATGTCGGAAAGTTCTGTTGCTTTTTTGTCTATGTTTTAATGGTAAAAAGGAGACGTTGAGAAATGATGAAAAACAGAAGATATCGTTACACGAATTATTAACCATTGTGTTCCGGATAATGTTAAACTGAACTATATATTAACACAAAATCTAATAAGACACAAGAACTGTCGAAATTTCTGACAAACCTAACAAAACAACAGGATTACTACAGAATCATAGAATTGCTAATAAATAATAATACTTTACCCCAGTGTAGGTTTCTAGAGATATTGGAAAATATCCGCTAGCTGTGAGACGGCAGGATTGGTTCGATCTCATAATCGTTATTAATATATTCTGTCGCAAAGTTTTACCGGCTTTATTCATCGACATAGATGACCACGGCGCTAAAAAGGTCACTCTACCGACATTGGTGCTTTGCCGTATCAAGCCATCGCAACTGTATGTGAACATGAAGAGCATACACAAAATCCCGATCATATTCATAACCAAGCTGATGTTACGAAAATGAGGTACGTCTGCCTGTGTAAACATTAAACTAATCAGAAAATGCAGCTACAATTTCTTATCTCTTCTTTGGGTTAAATGTTAATATCCTCGAAAGATTTTATAAAATAGTGTATTTTCTAAATATTGATTCATAAATAATACGTTATCGACAGTGCAAAGTGTATCAATAATTATGAATCTCCCTAGTACATACAAGATGTATCTGAAAAAAAGTATAAGACTGGCATTGTAAAAATATTTATCAGCAACTCAACTACAAAGCAACATTATCCCCTTTAAAATAGTTCCTGTGGAAAGCTATACACAGCCATACAGATTGTTCTAATCCTTGAAATAGTCTTGGAAATCTTCGAATGGAATTGTTTTCAGTTGATCCGTCACAATTTTTGTTGTTCTTGTCCACAGTTCCAAGATGAGGATCCATGAGTTCTGTTTCGATTTTTAGGAAAAGTATGAAGTCATATGAACTCTGATCAGAAGATTAAGGGGACTCTGGTGCCACAGGAATACCCTTATTGGCCGGAAACTCGTTTACAGGTAATTGGTCTTGGATTCTGCATCGTGACAAAGCTCTCTGTCACACTGCACTCTCAATGGACGAGTTTTTGGTCAATAAGGGTACTTTTGTGGCTCCACAGTCCACTTGTTCCACTCATCTGAGTCTATGAGACTTCTTCCTGTTCCCAAAAATCATAATCCATCTGGAGGGTCGTCATCTTGGAAGTGTGGACATCCAACATAATTCTGATGCTTAACTTTTGATATTCAAACCAAATTTCGTTGATAATAATTTTTGTGGAATCAATCACTTTCGCAAATGAACGGCGCGTACAATTCCGTACTTACCAAAAATAACTGATAACTGATCAGGCACAGTACTATGCTCAGAAACAACACCTGTGCGAGTATTATCAACGTGAATATATTTTCAAGGCGCCTGCAGTATTCGGTGAGCGCTTGATGCTGTTGGATGCAACCCCTCAGCTTTGCCAGACAGACATTCGTGTACCTGGATCAGAGTTGGGCATAATTTTATTCGAATAATACATAGTAATGAGCAGCTGCATCTAAGATCGTCATCTTGAGCTTTAAACAGTTGATGAGATTAAATGATTGCCTACTGATTCAAGAAAAAATGTCACTTTATTATGAAAATTGAACTATCCATGTTTAATCGATTAAAAATGATGAAATACATCTCTATCTTTTATTCGTTACTATCGGCGCGGTGCGGACTACTGCGGACGATACGTATTCGCGACCGAAGAGCCTCGGGCATCTTCGGCGTCACGATTGTGATCGTCATTCCGCACAAATGTCCGCCACTGTGTTATTGTTTGTAACCACGTTTTTATAGTTAATCGAAATTCTTTATCTAGATCTAGATAATGAATTTGCCCATCTCTGACCTCGACAGGCTTTCCTCGTCGGTTTGGGTCTCGATCACATTGCCCAGGCTCAATAGTCTGTATTGCAGAATCCGGAATTGACAAGTTACATGCAGATTCACGATGCTCAGGAAATAATCGAAGCAAATGTGACCCACAGCGACATGGTATACGCACAGAGTCTGTAGGTAGATATTTATTGTTCTTATTATACTGTAACCTATTACACTAACGTCTACAGGTGCGCAATTACAAGGTCCTTTGTGGGACGTTGTGTAATTAATAGAGGTGGATTTTTACTAAATTCGTGGAAAAGTATATCATCTAGTTGTTATATGTTAAATATTGAAAAGTTATGGATGGATACACCAGTGAATGAACGGTATACATAAAAACGAGTAAATTAAGTTATTAAAATAAGGAAATAATTAAATATTGATTCTTTTCAATTTCTTGTTTCATATTCAAACAACTTTCGCGCCATTGATCAGAAATGTTCATTTACTTACAATTATGTAGTATTGTTCATTCACTGGTACAATCTATTAGTTGATTCAGAGCGATTCGAAATGGAATAATCTTTCTGAATATAAATTTAAACAAAAACTAACGCGACAAGAACTACCTGAATTAGAAATGATATTTCGTAGTATGGCGAGATTCCTACTGGAAATTTCACCCACATGTTGAATGGTAGGATCCTATCCGAATGATTTTTTCCAACATTCGCTGAAACGTAGAGATGTAATTTGTTTCTTGACACGAAAGCCAGTTTCACGAATTAATTGGAAATGTATTCGTTGAATTTATGTTACTGTATCCTATTCGTTTTGGAATCATATATTAATTAAATGAACACATGGATTTTTAATTTTCTTGGAATGAAAAAGTTCCATGTGACAGGAAGGATCGTTAGAAAATACAAATTGGGGGATAATTTTTTTAATTAATTAACAGTAGCAATGAATGAACACTTTGAACATTTCTACTGTACTTTCATTCCAGTAAGTGGAATACTTTTAATAAGTACATATTACGTAAAAGTGATAGGTTCCTAATAAGTAGAAGTACTTATAATATATCCAAAGCTTGGAAGTAATTAATTTTCACCAGAAATTCACTGAATTTTCAAATGAGTTGCTACTACTTCAACAATATTTCATTGTTATCCTACGCTACACTACAATTCTCATTCTGTGAATATTTACATAAGTTAGTAATTATACAGATTTTTCTATTAAAATTCGTATTTATAAACAATATATTTCTGTTAAATGTTACACAAAATTTTCATTCAATATTTCTCCGTTTATCCACTTTAACTCACCGAATAAAGGTGTCATCACGTAACCGGCGCAAGTGCCTTGAGTGCAAAAACTAATTACAACGATGAAAATAGCACATACCCTCTTGCAGTCCGCCAAAATTACTTTCTCGCGGGGATCATAGTTCGAGTGCCAGAAATTCTTTTGAGTATACCGAACTAGGGCAAAGAATTCGATTCTGTGCACATACAAAACGACAATTTTAAAGAAAACGAACATCAGGTATAAAATGTTGCAGCTGACAAACACGCAATCCTAGAATTATAAAACGAAAAACGTTAACTGCATGTTTTTGATAGAATGTCATTAGCAAGAGGCAAGTAAAATACTCTGTAATAAATCTCACTTCCTTAGAGTTACCTTTAACTTTTTATCATATACAAGAATGAACTATTTTTATGGACAGCCCAAAATATGTAGCATATGATATTTAGTCATATTTATTGGATTAAATTCTTGTAGGTAATTAATTAATGGTCGCTATTCAGCAACCACAACATCATTATTACAAACATTATACGTTAGTTTTGTACTTATATATATGTAGAATGAAATATTCATTTTAAGTAAAACCATTTATATTTTAAGGATTTTCGTTTCATTCTATTAAAAGAAAAATTAAAAAATATACCTTTTACATGATAAATGTTAAAAACAAAACTACGTATATGTGTAAATTTAAAAGTAAACACTATAAATCAAATTGTTAAATAATGTTAAATTAATAAGGGCGGCGATACTGTTTTTGCATCCCGGGCGGCCAACTCAGGAACGGCCCTGACAATAATACCGTTCATTCAGCCGAATTCTCCAAAGCTACAGACTCACGTTCAAGTTTCCCCAAGAGAAATAGATGTCCCTGAAGGCGATGGAGGTGGCGATAACGATAATGGTGATCGTATAAATCAGCGCGAAATTTCGACGGCGTTGCTCGGCACGATCGGCCGCCATCCACAGGCCGACGATCTTCATCAGAAGCGATGTCCAGTCGATAGATATATCATCGCTTCGCGCTAGTCGCATGGCGGACTTTGAATACCTGAAAATATTCGCCTCTAGTCTCGCAACAAAGTTCCCGTCATCGATTTTCGCGAGGATGTCAAACGTCTCGTCTCGGCGACAGCTCGCTTTGATCGTGACAATTCTCTTTAATCACCCAGCGGAATAGTCGTCGCCGACGAACAGTCGGAGGTGCATTATTTATGATTCAAGAGCGACGATGGAGTCGTGCACTGTCCACGGTGACAACGAATACTTACGGAAACCGTGAGGGACGGTCGCAATCATTGGTCGCCTATACGAAAGTCCAGTAGTCTTTCTTACTTTGCTAGTGTTAGGTTGATCTTAGGGTGTCGTAGGATTGTTCGAAAGAGAAGGTAACTACAAGATCAAGTCAGGGAACAAGAACTTGCTTGCTAGGCCTTTTGCATTCGAGACTATATGTATAATATATGTGTATTGCTTTCAGATAACGTTATGTAACCATTCAACAGTTGAACGAATATATCTACATAAAAAACTAGTGTCGTGACAAGAGAAAAATACTTCATCTCTTTGCATTTGATCTACAAATGCAAGTATATGTATATTGTAGTCTTTATTAATACCCGCAATGTGAATTGCCAGTTTAATTCAACTCAGATTCTCTCAACAAAGTGAAATAAGACATCGAGGTGCTGAGCACCTGTAACAAATACATTTTCAACGTTAATGCTCGAGTTTCCTCTTTTCTTGACATTCTAAGTATTTAATACACAAGTATTTATACCGATCTAATCTACTGTTGTAGTATCTACGACGGTAATCGTGGTCACCGGTGATCAGTACTATTAAATCACCCCAAAAGAAATTCAATTTTTTTAACAGTAACATCTACGATATTCAATCTTTAACAATTACATAAATCAATGCTTAAATATTCATATTCTTAATAGCAAAGAACTTTTATCAGTGAATGCTATCAGAATAGTAGAAAGGTGGGCAGTCAACGTACTAAAACGTTATTTATTATGTATAATACTTTGTTTCTTACATATTCTAAATGGCAATACAAACCATTTAAAATTGACACTGTATAATATATTTTAATTTAAAAGGCAACAAATCTTTCAAAGATAGCATTAAACAGTCATCCGTAATATGAGACACGGCCGTTCCAGACAACGAATATCGAATGCTGTATGTATTTCCATTAAATATTGGGCTTCAGAAACGATATTACTTACGGGTAGGCTGTGGATTTTACGCATTTATAATATTTTTTGTAACCCGATCAAATCTCTGTTAATTTCAGTTTGTGTAAATTACCGCCCAAATTTGCATTAATATCCGCAGCCAATTTATGAGATGACCAAATATTTAGTCTTATTAATACTCAAAATTTTACAGTATCGCTTACTTCTGTGTTCAACTTACCCACAATTGACGTGGTCACATAATTAACGAGAGTGCTTTTAGTAAAGAAACATACGAAAACGACACAAAGGGTTAAAAAGTTTCGGGCATCCTTCAAAAACATCTGTTCTCTGCTGTCGTAATTCGAATGCCAAAATTTTCGTTGCATGTGCAATACCAATTCGCAAAATTCTGTTTTACGCCGACACAATAAAACAGTTTTTGCTATCGCCATGATGGTACGCATAAAATTGCAAGCTGTAAAAGTGTCATTCTGAATTCGAAAACTTTCAATATATTAATTGCTCCATACTTTGTATGTCAATTATTTTACCGGAAATTCTCAAAACAGTAACACGGTGGGCACAAAGTAAACCAACTTCACCCACTTGGCATCACAACGATTGATCCCAAAATAATCAATTCTTTTCCAAATCGTGCTAACACAGGCTCGATGACTCGCGATAATAACTTCAATCGTTCTACTCACGCTAAAGTCACCCCACGTATGATAAATATCTGTGCCGTTAATGTAGATGCTGAAGAAGAGCAACGCGAACGTGTACGTCAACGCGAACCTTCTACGGCGGCGTTCCCCGTTGTTGTTCGCCAGCCAACATCCTGTGGGTTTCATCAGAACACAGGACAACGGTATACATAAACATGTCCCTGTTATTCATACTGGATTCTCGAACGATCGGTAGTCAAATTTACTCGGGATCCGAATCGGCCGTCGTGAAACCGTCAACTTACCGAAGTGAACCGTCTGACTTACTTTGATCACGGGGAACACTTGTTGCATTGTTCATGGTCTCCGTCACGGGGAACGATGACAGGCGTGTGATCGACGAAGAAAAAGGAAGGAACAAATCGGTGCCTTGATGTATTATGCACAGCATCGACGGTTGATGTATCTTTCGCCTGGTTCGTGTGAATCAGTATCCAGGTACTTATTATGTATCGATTGGTAGCGTTAGTGGTTCCAGTATGTTCTCAGTGTTCGACAAGAGAGTTTGTACTAGAGCTGTGTATCTGAATATACAAGGTGAATCACGAATCGTGATCAGTAGAGATTAATCTGTTATTAGCAGTCTGATCGAAAATCTCATCATCATAGCGTATCTAGCTGCTGGGGCTCCATATGGCCCTTTATAATTTTTATCAAGTTTATCAATTTAATTTGAATGGATGATATTTGAGACTACTTCAAAATACTTAAATGGAAAAAAAATTTACAAATAAGTGGAGAAACAAAAAGTTTTTTCCTTATTGTCTCCCGGAAGATACCACCAATCGCATTGAAACCTAGGTTTGCATACTTTGATCTTAATTTACAGTTTTATGTGATCGTTGTTATATCTATTTTTTCGTAGCATCATAATCTCCGTAAAATCGCATTTCAAGAACATCGTTTAAAAGGAAAAAAGTAGTACCTGACAGAAAGTGTAATATAAGAACATGGTATACAGTGGAAGTATTTTTATTTCTTTTATCATTTTCATTGAGAAAATACATATACTTCTTCGCAACTCATGGATCCACGTGGTAGACGATACAGTGCCGCGATTCCCTCGATCATAGATTTATGTATATTCGAGCAGGCAGTGGCTACAAGGGGGACAGGAGGAAGGATTCGAAATGAAAATTTATTGCTACTTCCACCGGGCAGGCAAACGTTTCTTACTTTTTTTTTCTTTTTTCTTTTTTTGGACGAAAACGTCCGAGGCCAATGCGACACTGAATCGTCGCACACGCGGAAATATTTCGACGCCTATACTCGAACGTACACAACAAACGAAGACCTAATAAACCTCGCAGTGCTTACGTATTAGAGCCTTAACCGCAAAATGTACCATTATCATTACACTGAATAAAGGGGTTCGGGTGAGGGTTGGGAGGGGAAAGGGCGCGCAAGAGGCATCGACATCGGTAACGCGTTCGTGTATGCTTTCTTTCTTGGTACATACACTTTGATACAATAGTAAAACACTTATCAATTTCATTTGCAAACATTGGCCTTACCTAGTATGTTTCTATTATTTCATCGTTATTCGGATAATGCCGTTTATCCATATAACACGTGTACTCATGAAAGCAACGAGAAAACGGAACGGAAACGTGGGGCGGTGCACCCCGGTTGATTGCACCTGGCTCCTTTTTATTTTAAACGTTAGTTTAAAGTTTCGTTTACCGAAGGACGTACATTTACAATTTATTATACAGGTATTCTTCGGTATCAATGCACGATTTTTTGACTAATCAGAAGCTAAAACCATGTCGTACCCGCGCGGTCTCTCGATCGAAAGATGCTTCGAACCTGGTTCGAAAAAGGAACATCGCGCGATCTCGCATCGTTTCTCGATCGTCTCCGTGTTTGAAATTACTCGGACTACGTCGTGAGTAGAGTCACTGATTTTTTGTTGCATGTTTTGAGAACCGTGAGACAGTTGGACAGACGAAAATTAAGGGTGAAGTAAGGTAACTTATAGCCTGCGATCGATCACAATTTCAATAGGAATGTTGAATACGACTTTCAGTTCTTTATGAATTTGAAAATGCATTGTTGAAGATGCGACAAATATGAAGATGTTTCAAATAAGAAAGTATCAATGAAATATTTGTGGAATTGATTAATTAAATTTTGTTTAAATACCAAATTTAGACGTTATTTACAAGTGAAATCTTATTTTTATTTGTTACAAATTATTCAGATAAAAATTGCCTATTTCTGTCGAGTATCTCATGGTTAACTCACTTATGTCGAATCAGTAATCCTAGTCAAAAGACAGTCGCGGGGCGATTGTTTTCTGCGAATTGCAAGTAGCGATGGGACCAAGTACACCGTGAGTATGTACTACAGAATTGTAACGATAACTGTTTAAATTCACCATGAATACTTTGAAGAACAAAAGTAGCATTTACCAGTGTAATCGAGTTTTGATAGAATCTGTTCGAATGCTATACATATAAGTTACATAGAAAAAATTATAATACTGATAAGTAGACTGCGAATGTTTATGCAAATTTATAATTTTCTGAGCTACGTAATAAAAATGATGGTTGTCAAAGATTTATCCTTTGTATTGAGGATTTTCTTACATTACATTATAAAGTCTTAATTTTACTTTAAGAATGCTAGAAGAATAGGTTAAATGGGTTAAAAAATGCTAGAAATGCATAAACGTCCGTAATCAATTTCTGCAGAAATCCTGTAGATTATTCATGAATATAAAAAATCGATAAATTTCGAATATTACTGGAAAAGAATTCGATATTTACCAAGTACAGAGTACTCGTAAGTACAGTTTCGAACATTTTAGTTACTTACTAGTATGTACAAGTTTCGAGAACAATTGATTGATATCAAGTAAATGAAGTAAACTATTTGTTTATATAACCAAATTGTTATACATGTAAGAGATATTGAATTGATCTATATTCATAAGTACGTATTGTACTTCGTCCCACTACTAGTTGTAAACATATTCACGAATCACTAATCGGTCTTACAAAGCCAATTCCTTTTTTTAATTATTCTCTAACAACAGATCGTTGAAAGCTACGAACGTTGCGCATAGAAACACAACACGCATTGATATAATTAAGTGCAAATGTAATTTCTTAAAAGTTTCACTGCTTTTTAACGGTGTTGATTGCCTCTTCGTAGCGAATCACTGGTAATATTCTAGATATTGAATGTTTCATCGAAAGCGATTCCTTGGATGCTATTTCTTAGGATTTATAATTCTACTTTTCTAGATCACGCGTTCGAACGCAGTGGCTCGCATTATATCAGTAAAAATTGCACCTAATGAAAGAAAATAAAGGATTGTGTGTTAATCTGTGTGACTTCGACGTGCGTGTACGTGAATATTGATAATTACGTTTATTCCATTAATGACTTGTGCTACACTTGTCTCATCAATTCTGGATTGTATTTTGCACATTCAAAATTAATGAATAGAGTAAGTATTTCTTAATAGAAATTAATTAATGGAATAAGTATTCATTAATTTTTGAACGTTTAGAATACCACTCAGATAGGGTGAGACAGGTGTAGAACGAGTTATTTATGATAAGGTCAGTAGAATGAAACGCTCCGTGTTCAGACACGTAAAATAAGCGTGGCCTTGTCGAGTCACATTCTGGTCAGACAAGTAGAATGACCTGACCGTGGTTATGGGAGTAGAAGGTCTGTTCTTACTCAGACAAGTGGTACACGAGCTGTATGCAACTATGTAGAAGTAGAATGTAACCTGTTATTAGCCGAGTTGTTTGCAATAGGTATAAATCAAGTAAAAGTTGATTTCCATAGGTGTAATTAAATAATTTTAACTAATAAATTTTCTGATGTTTCACCTATTGAGCATTACGGGTGCATCAGATTTATCTGATTAAGTAGCAGAGATAAATAAATGATAGAGAATTTACATAACAAGAGACTACAGTAGAAACTTAATTATGCTTTCCATTGAAAATTAATATTTATATTTAGCGTGAAGTAAAAGAGAAAAATTTCTGGGTAAGGATTATTATCATAGATCAAGTGTGATCAATAATAAATGTTTGTTTTTGGAAAGATCTGCAATTCAAAATTATTATCTAGGAAGGTTGAAATGGATTGCATTTTTTTCTTGGAATTTAAAATACTACAATTAAGTGTCTGCTTCTAATCCTGCGGATGTGCCTGGCTAGTTACAGACATTAATTACTTGAGGAATTTCCTTTCTTTTCTTTGTATTCGGTGACAATTAATATTAATGGAATAATTATTCACTTTGGGTATCGGAAACGAATAATTATTGACAGTATCTGTTTAAGTGAGATTGTTAACAGTATGAAGCTCATATTATCAGCACTTAGAAGACTTAGATTTTATGTTCGGATGAAATAGAAGTGACTAGAAGCAAGAGAATTTCGTTTGAAATCTTACATGCGAAATAATAAGTCTTGTTCACTCTCCAGCTTCATTAAGAAAATTTTTCGATTCAAGTTTTTGGCCAGTTGTTACTAATAATTTCACGTAAACATAGTTTTGCATTCAGTGTACTGATAAAGTTAGTAATAATAAAATAATATTCACCTGCAACTGTGATTCACTTAGTTATTCATATACGAACAATCTTACGAAATTATTAGAAAAATATTTCACAATACATCATAAGAAAATTGAAAAATCTGTTTCAAGCTATTTTCAATGTTTTCAGATACAACTTTCGTCCCCCTTCAATTCATACCACTTCCCCTATATTGACGAGCACCCTAAAGTATACCGCACATAATTTCTCATTATTCGTGTGTAAACATTCGTTACGACCCGTTAATTTTCGTTCGAATAAAAACTGACGCAGAATACAAGGAAACACTACCAGTATCGAGATCATACCGCCGAGACGCGTATTTTACAAGTGTATATACAATGGGAAACTTTAAACCCCTCCAAAAAACAACGTACCCCGTCGTACAAATATTTAAAAAAGCTACATACTATTCGTGAATAACGAAATCGAATATGTCCTTCCAGTGAATTGCCGGAGCGTGCAAGGCTAGATTGTTCAGGGGACGAGCTTCGAAAGCAATGTATGTAATCGATAAATCCCTCTTGGTGCAATTACATTATTGTAATCGTATCTATAGTCCAGTAGTACAATCGCGTAATCAGAAATGTTCTCCAATACACACGTGTCTGCACCTGGCTCGTTATGTACCATATGTGCGTGTACACGTATGTATCTGTGTGACTGTGTGTGTGTGTGTGTGTATGTGCCCTCGATTAACAATCGATCGAATCGAAAATCATCT